TACAGTTCCATTCCCTCTGCTGCTGCTAAGTTGGGAATTGCCGCCACAGCAACTGACAGCTTTTTTTTTTCCATGAGTCTGGAGTTGCTCTCTGGGAGTGATGTCCTCATCGGGATGGGAAGTAAAATGACGGGAGAAAGGCTCACCCTGGCCCTGTGCTACGGAGGAACTCCAGGGACCTCTTCTAGGGGAAACAGTTACTTGAGGTGGGTGCTACTAATGAGAGCAAAAAATCAGGAGGAGAAAGTGCCGGGAGAAAATACCAAAATCCTGCCGTTTTGAAGAAAATGGGCTTTTCGATTAGAGAGCACAGAAGAGGGAGAGCATTATGCAAAAGAATTTCTGACAATGAACATGTTTTTAGAAGTGCTATAAAATTGTCATTTATTGATGGAAACATCTTTGATATCACAGTCACAGGGGCTGAACTCTTGGTGAGTCCGACTCTTTATATACTGATACTATACTGTGCTTTGATACGTGAGAGTAAAATTGAAATAAGGAAACAGTAACTAAAACGAGCGTGATTTAGAATTGTCCCATTCAGGCCTGAGTTTTGACATGGGAAAAAATTACATAGCAGCTTCGGGCTTAGTAGCCGATTCCAGAATTTAACGCAGATGGCGACTAATTTTGGTGCCTCTTTAGTTCCAAAAGTACCTATTTTGGAATATATTTAATTAACCAGGATTTAAAGGCTCCTCTTGTTTGCGAACACCTTGGCTTTTTTGTCATCTGTCAGCATCGCGATGTGCACAGTAACTGAAAGGTTCTGAGGCGTGAGCTATTTAGGTGGTTTTGATGTGCACTTGCTTTTCTGGAGGATGTTTAAACAAAGCAGTGCTGCCATTTCTACAGTTTCATTCAGAACTGCTTGCTTGGAACCTGCTTCTATTGCCCCTATAATAAAGGATACAAATAACACTCGAAAAGCCATAACGCTCTTGGTTACTAATACATGTATATATCGCTTCCTTTCATCACAGAAATATACATATCGGACCTAGCCGGTCATCTACTCTGCTCTCTGAAGAAGCAGAATTTCACTTTCTAAATATGTTTCTATTTTAAATAACCTTTTACTACTAAGGTGCAAACTGCAGCTTTAAAGTACTGACTGCTAACCGTCTTCTGTTTGCTGCTCTGTGAGGACTCTTCCAAAAACAAAACTGTGTTATTCTACAGCTCCAATAAACAAAATAAATGTGACTGATATCTGTTTCTGCTGTACTTTTCCAGAGCTTTGGTTCTTAGCTAGCCTATTGGAGCTGGGAGAGAAAGAAAAGAAGAAACACAAAATTGCAGCCGGAAAAGGTGTTAAGTCCAGATTCCTCTTTGCAGGCTTTAAAAAAGCAAACTAGCAATTCATGATCACAAAACAAAATATGCACATTTAAACAAGCTGCACGGGAAAGGAGAGTTTAATCCAGTGAAATTGTGTTTGAAAGCTATTTCATACCCCTAGGAATAAAATCTGAATAGCAATTCTGCTTTGCTCCCACCCTTTTTCCACCCTTCTGTTAATATATTACCATTTGTTATGGAATCGTTACAAGACTTCTACCCCAGAGGTGGCTGCATTTCATTGAAGGATGAAGTACTTTCTGGGCCTGAGTCTCTTCTTACTCGCAGGAGCAGACAGTACTCATTGCAACTGCACCGACGCTGCTAGTAAAGCTATTTTTGATTTGCACCTGAGCAAAAGAAGAATTAGGCCCACAGTTTGTAAAGCCCTCTGTGATTCATTTGGGTGAAAGCTACAACACAAATGGGTTGTTTATTGTAAACAGAAGTATGACACTAAAGCAGGCACTGATAGAAAGAGCTGTAACTGTGTGCTTCAAGAATTATCGAAATGGAAATGACGATCTCAAAATGGAATGACGATTCAGAAAAGATTCGGCCCTGGAAAGATCAAAATGCATTTGACATAGTTTCGCTGTTGATGTGAAATAAAGTGTCTTTAAAAGTGTAATTTGAGATCAAAAATACCCATCATCAAACATACATAGTGCCCCATTTATCCAATTACACTACCTTGTTTCATTACAATGGTCTGTAATATATTTCTTAGGAATACAAGGCTTAAAATTAATAATAGAAAAGGACAAAATTGCCATGTATATTTCTCTAGATAGATTTTCATCTAGCAGCAGGACTTCACTTCTGATTCACTCGCTGGTTCTCTCTAACCTTTACATTATTCATTAATCAAACTAGAGACCTGCTTTCAAAGTCAGTGCATGGTAGTAATTATTTACAGTTGTGCATAGTATTTAATTTTAAGCAATGACAAAAGCAGGCATGTCCAGAATCATAAGGCTTATCATTTTTCTTCCGTTGAAGGTGAACTATCTAAAGAAGCTAAAAGTTGCAAACTTCTCTTCAATATCTCTGCTGCCATCAAGACAAAATGCAGTGCAACTGATACCTTTGAACTTGTACAACTAAAAATAAATAAAAGTGAAAATTAAGTAATATATAATGTATTAACTCCTTTAAATAAAAGGAATAAGGAGCTTTGCTATCAGCCTTGATGAGTGATTCATTTCTTATTGCACAGTCTGTCTACTGTCACTTTGAGGTATTTTTCACCATACAAAACAGAACCTCAGTACTATCCCTGAAAATGAAAGTCAGTTTTAAGAACTATATACAACAGGCACGTCTGCTCTTCGAAACCCTCTCTACCCCCCCCAACCACACAAATACAACTTCAGAGCAGAACTATTGCAAATGTATAAACCTACTTCAAATAAGTTATGCTGGATGAAACTGGACTGCATTTGCAGTATTTTGCTCACCTGAAATAACACGGATCTGACGACAAATATAATCAAAGAAATGCACCACTAAAGAGCAATGCACATTTTATAAGGAGAATAAGAAAGGAGAGATGTTATTGTGGCCATTCAAATTTCTACCTCATCATTAAGATTCTCAGAAATACTGCAGTGTTCTGGATAAAAACATATCTTACTGTATTCTCAGCAGGGAAATCCCGGGAAACAACAGCATGGGCTTTGCTCGCAAAAAATTTACTTACTCTGTAGCCTATGTTTCTAAAAAAGAACAGTGTGCCCCTTCTACAAAAAGATACTACACACATTGCAAGTGAAAATTCTACTTTGAAAACAAAATAAAATGAAGCCTCATACTCCTGACAGAGAGAAAAAAGGAGCAATTCTAGCACTGTCATTGTGATGATCAGCATCCATGAAAAAATAGCTATTTATCCTGCAAGTTGAAAACGTTAATGCCTTATTCAGATATAACCTCTTTGTGAATAAAACAATAATAGCAACTCATCAGAGAGTTCTTCCGAATACCTATATATATGCATTTCTGGCTTAACTATTATTTACGGTTAAAGGGGATCTTTGCTTGCCAGGAATCATACTAGCAACCTGCATAGGTACATTCATTGGTCACGTCCCAAAAGACTCTGCCTGCATGCCATTGTCCTACACCTATATGAATATGGCAAAATATGTAAGTTTACAAAAGTTATGCATGTCCCAGTTCTAACATTTACCCTTGAATGAATCCCAAGCACTACTTTGCAAAGTTTATTCAAGTATGCCACTAAACTTGCCCATACATTTTGTCCCACATATAATATGCTACACCTAGAAAATATTCAGAAGGGGGAGGAAAAATTAGTAAACCATTTTTAAACTAAAACCATAAAATACTAATTTTCTTTAGAGAACAAATCTGATGAAGGAAACAAAGAAAAAAAGAAGGGAAAAAAAACGCCTACATTAAAAGCCAAACAAGATAATAATTGTGCATGTCTGGCTAAGAGAATCTAGAGGGCAAGCCTTACGTCATTGGCACTTGGGTTACCATGGTGAGTGATTTATTGATATATATCAAGAATGAATAGATCAAAGGCAGCAAGATGACAGGTGATCAATCAAATGTCAAATCAAAGCTGGCAATCAACTGGAAAGCTGATTTTTCAGTGGGTGGGTCTGGCAGAAGAAAAATGAACTTCCATATTGCGCTTCCCAGAAACAAAACCCCACCACACTATTAAAAAAAAATAAAAAGCAATTAAGCAGCCTGAAAGAAAACTCTTTGAAAAGATTTACTATACAGGCCCACTCATCTGTTTCTTTTGCCTGGCCCCCAAAAGAACACCCTACAAACGACAAAACAAAACACTTCCAAAGTTGCAAACTGTTTTCTTCTTAAAAAAAATAAATTGCAAAACCATTTGGCATGTGCAAATATATAAACTCGGCTACAAAACAAAAGAAGGATTTGATTTGAAAATGTGGATTGTCTTCTAACAGTCAGAACGTTTCATTTTATTTCCTGTTGCAATTTTCACCACTGATGATCAAAGGCTGAACTTCCCCACCGGGTTCATCAGCAGAGACAGTCCCTGTACTATTTCAGGCATACACAACGCGCGCACACACACACACACACACAGACACACACACACACACACAGCCCCGGCCAGCATTGCCACCAGAAACACGGCGAAATAAAAGATTAAACACACCGACCCACTTCGCGAAACAGACGGTTTAAAAACAAAAACCACCAGGAGGGGGGGGGAAATCAGAAAGAGAGAAAGAAAAAAAAAAAAAAAAAAAAAAAAGACTAAAGCGGGAAGCAAATGGGAGGCTGCTTTCGGTTCGGTAAGGGAAAGGGGCCGGGGGAGAAGGGGAGCCGAGTGGAAGAAAGTTGGGGGGAAAAGTTTAGCCAGGGCAGGATGGGAGCTCGGAGCAGGAGGCAGCGGGGACCGAGCGCGGTGGGAGCGGCGGGAGGGTGGAAGGGGACAGCCCATGTCAGAGTAAAGATCTTGGCAATAAGGAATGAAACTGGCTCACAGAGTTACGAAGGGAAAGGGAGGGGGAGGGGGGTAAATAAATAAAGATCCAGCCCGGAAAAGCAAGGGTGACCCTAAATAATAATAAAGATGGGGGGTAGGATTGGAAGGAGCGGAGAGACAGAGGCTGTGTAAGTGGATGGCTTCTCCTTACCTGCAGCCCGTTTGGGTGCTTGCTGTTTCCTCCTTGGCATCGCTCTACTTTCTCCAATCTCACTTCTGTCCCCAGATCCGAGAGCCCTGAGACGCTCCTGAGTCGTGTTTCTCTGCCTCTGCCTCTCAGCTGCTTTCCCCAACACCCCCCTCAAGCCTCCCCTGCCCCCCTCCTTTCCACTTCACTGATAGGAACCTGTTTGGTTTTTATTTTATTTTAGAGATCTAGGTTTCTTTCTTTCTCTCTCGCTTTCTTTTTTTTTTTTGGTTGGCTTTTTTTTTTTTTTTTTTTTTTTAAGTTCTAGCTATAGAAAGATAGATAAAAATGTGTTTCTGGAAATAGGAAATTTTTAAGACTATTGAACTCTCAATGTTCACAGTGCATCAGAATTGTGTTATTTAGAATAGAACTTCCTGTAAGTGCG